TTAAAGGCTTAGCAACTTACGTCAAGCAGCAACTGAGTACAAAGGTCATAACTAGAAGAGATAATTGTTTGCTTTACCTTTTTTTAGTTTAACTTATTTCAAATAGCAATAATCTATATACATATATAATGTATAATAATTGAAATGTGACTGAAAAGAAAAATAGACATGAGAAAAACATTGTCTTTTAAACCTTGAGACTTAATACAAAAATTTGATAATTTGTGTATGAAAGCATTGTAATGTTTACTGATAATCTCCCAAATTTTGTTAACATTTGCTTACTAATTTAAAAGTTATAGCATGAAAATTATAACAAGCACAAAATGGTTTTGAGGTTGGTCCAAGAGACCGAGCTCGTGCTGAAAGAGTTAAACTTGTAATTTTTATGAGTGAAGAAAAGAGTGAATCTGTGAGTGACATAGAAGCCTAAGCTCGACAGTCAATTTGCTGAATCACATCTCTTCATTACTGCTTGGGAGAGCAAACAAAATAGATACAGCAAGCCTTGATATGGTGGTGGGATACAAACAGTGTTGGATATGCTGTAAAGGCCTTTACATCAAATCATAAAATTGCTGTATAACTTGTCTATCTTTTTATGGACCCCACTTGCTCTGTTTTAATTTATTACTGATACAGTTTGTTTTTTTTTGAACTGATGAATATGCGTATATACATAAATGATATATGTAACAGTGAATAGTACGAGTACTTGCTATGCACAATTGTTTTTATAATGCCTTTTGATGTAAAGAAATGAGTATTTATGTGTATACACATCTGGATCATTGTTAAAAGATACCTTAGTACGATTAGTTGATTGAATCTAATATAGAGTAGTTGTTAAAATAACTATGATTAGATGAGTGTGTTTGCTGTTGGACAATTTTTGGATTTATACTTGATTTGCTGCTCCTTGTAATTTCACTCAAGAAAGCATATAGCATAGTGGTTAAAATACAAAGCAGTTCAAGCTACTTGAGTCATCTTAGAGTTTTGCAATCAATATCATTAATAATAATGCATGTTAAGCATTTTTTTATATTCTAATTATGTTGCATACTTTGTTATATATACACACACACACACTGAACAAAACTTGAGGATAATCAGAACTTTATAATATTATAGCAATGCACCCATGACAGGGCTGAATTGCTGTTATAAATTTCTTTCACCCTCTATCCCATTTTGGTGTTATGCAAATAAGGCACCTGATGTTCATGTATGTAAATAGGTCTGCAGGATCACCAACATTTTCAGGTCACAGACCCTTACCTTTTGGACTCTACTTGCTGCCAATTTTGGTGGGATACATACACATTTGATGTATTTTTTATATAATCCACACACACACATATTAGTTAGAACAATAACTGTTAAAAATTTTTGGTATACCACATTCCATACAGATGATGGAGCATTGTAAATTGAGTCTGTCAGGTGTAAAGTAGTTTCTTATAGAACAATAGTAGTATCTTGATGTCATTGTACTATAAGTGCGTCATGCATATGATTTTTGTTTAATATGCTAAACTGATATGAAATACAGTGAATTTGAACCTGACTTTATTGGGGGGGGGTGTACGAAGTTTAAAATTAAAAGTAAGAACAATGTTTAAAATAGACAAAAACTTTTATGTGATCGATAATTAACATTGAGAGACTACATTTTGGTAGCCTTACACTGCCATCAGCAGAACTCCTGTGGAAGTATAAGATTGTTAGAAATAGCATAAGACTGGCCTTATGTCAGATACCCATTGATGTGCATTTCACTCAGAGAGGGCACTAAACCTTTTGTAGTGCCAAGAACACATTCTATGGGCTAACGATACGAGAAGCAGACTTTTTTTAAAGATCAGTCACATATCACTCTGCAGACAGATAGAGACATATTATTATTTGAAACCAGATCCAACCTCATTTTCATACAGGTATGTTTATGGAATATGTATTATTGTAATTGTTTCTCTCGTTGGGTGGGTTCTTTTGAATTATTTGGTAAAAAAGAAGAATGCAAGTCCAGTCCACTTAATGAAAGTGTTTTATTTTCCTTCATCTGCAAAATATGGGGTTAGATTAAATAAATAATATAATGTTAAAAAAGTCCTTAACCTAGTTTGTGTGACATAAATAAAGTTGTTAAACATTATACTTCAATTTAATAGTCCATTTCACACTACTACCTATTTAAAGAATTTACCAACATAAATAACCTCTCAATCACTGCTTTGTTGTATTATGACTCAAGTAGGATGAGTAAGTACATTATTTGAATATGTGTCCTGTAAAACAGAGTCTAAGTTAAAAGGACCCTTCAACTTTAAAGACATATAACATCAGCTGATTACCTCACTAGTGGTATATCACTTCATGTGACCAAGGTGCAAACAGATATATATTAAATCAACCAGTAAAGGCTCTGCATTAAATAAAGGAAGACTGTAGTGCTAAAACCTAAAACATCAGTAGTATTACCAACAATTGTCTAAACAAATGTTATATTGTGCCTGTCTTCAGTTTTTTCTGCATCATACTCCATTCCTAGGAAGAATTCAAATTTCTGATGCTAAAATCTTTTGCCATGAAGCTAAGAAAACCAACTCTTAACCAGAAAACGAGTACACTGCCACTACTTCATTTGTGAGAATGTAAAGAAAACAACAGAACATGAAGTTTGTTTGTTGAAGTGAGGTGTATTAAAAACTAATTATTGCATATTAATCTTAAAAGAAACCAGTACAAAATTAGTACCCAAATAATGTATTTAAAATTTTTTAATGATAATATTTAATGTGTTCACCTTGGACATTATTAACATCTTGGCATTTTTGTTACATTGTATTGTATATTTTCCCAAAATTCTGGTGAATTGGTTTCCATTTTTCTTGAAGCTGTATCCAGAAGCTTTCTTTATTACATTTGGTACTTTCACCAGCCATAGAGTCCAACAAATTCCTGACTTGTTTTATGGAGTTAAGGTCTTGACTTTGTGGTAGCCATTTCATTAGCTGGAGATTTCCTGAGCTTTCTTTTTTTGCCAAATAAGGATAAAATTTCTTGGAAGTGTGTTTGTGGTCATTATCTGCCCTTTTGCCATCTTTCTAGAGGGCATTGAATGATAATATAGTGTGGTGTTTGTGCTGAACCATGATTCTATAAGTTTTATGACAGTGACCAATACCATTCACATATATGGCTCCCCAAACCATCACAGAGCCTTCTGAATGCTTGATTGTTGGCAAAAAGCACTCCTGCAACGTCGTATTTACCCTTTGGCTAATGTATATGTGTAACTAGGAACCAAACAGTTCAAACTTAGGCTTTGTCAGTATAAAGCACCTTGTGCCACTGTTCCAAAGACTAGGTTATACAATCTTTCTCTAAAGCTAGTCTCTCTTTTAGATTTTTTTTTGTGTAGTAAGAGCTTTCTTGCTGTTACTCTTCCACAATGGTCACATTTCTAGAGTGTTCTCAAGACTACTTCTTGAAACATTTATCTGTGCATGACATGTTAATGTAATTAGCAAGTTTCTTTGCAGTTTTCCTTTGGTTCTTCAAGGAATGGATTTTTAGATATGTGGCACATCTTTCAGTGAGCTTTTTTCTCTGGTCCTTGCCTTGTTTGTTGTTATAGGAAATGATTTTCATGTAAATGTCCAATGTGTACATCACAGTATTTGGTGATCAGCTGAAATTTTCTTTTAAAACTCTGACTGCCATTATGAAAACGTTTTAATCTGTCTTCTCCATAATGACTTTAATCCCAACTAGTTTGGGGGTGGCTAGTAATTTTGTAAGCTAAGAATTATTACACCTGGGTGGGTGGCCCAGACAACCCATACAGGATGAAAGATTTTAATCTGTCAAAAGGTTTTAATTCTCCTTGTTTTGTTATTTTGATACTTATATTTGCTGTATTGAATGATGTTTTGGAAAACAAATCATCCCTTATATATATGTCTGCATGAAAAACTCAGAATCTGAAAAATCTTAAATTTTTGTCATTGATGACTGGTAGAAAAACTAAAGACAGTTTGACAGTGTTGCACTGCTTTGTACTCAGATTAAACAACTTGTAAAAATTTACCGAAGTAAATTATTTAAACTATGTGCTGGCTTTTTCTTAAAATTTTAAATTTATTGTGTAACATAAAAGTCATGATAAAGTAAGAAGATCAATTATTTGTCTTCTTTTTATGCTTTTTTCCATCATTTTGAACTATGGTGGTTTTATATCATAGGTACAAAAAATCAAACTACAGGAGCACAGATTTCAAAGATTTGCAGAACTTTTGCACAATTCTGATTGAGAGATCAGTACATTACTTCATTTTATATATTCATTCCCTTTTGATTATTCAAAGAAATGTTAGATGTGTAACATAACATAATATGTGGACAGCAAAGGAATGTTTTGTTCTCCAAGGCTTTCCTTACACATCAATTCTTGGGAGAAAAAATTTAACCTACACTTTACATGCCAGGAAAATATCAATTCCTCCTCTTAAACTCATGTATAGTGCTTGTCTTTACTTCTGCCACTGGCAACTCTTTCTATAAGCCAATCACACTGTTAAGCAAATAAAATCATCTTAACAGGAGCCTAGCCAAATCTTAAACTTATGTCTTCTCATTCATTTATCTATAGAATATAACAGTAAGAAATCAGAAGCATTTATCCTATTTAGTAATAGAGCACTGCTTCATTGGCTTGAATAATTTATCTACAACTATTTTAGATTCCATTTTTTCAGTCATGTTATTGTGTAGGCTCTCGTGTAATATAAAAATGTGAGGTCCAAATTATAATAAACCCAAATCCAGTACCTTGCATTTATTATAACTGAAGGTGACTTGGTAAATATTTGTACAACTTGCCAAGTAAAATTGTAGTACCTTAACATCCTCAATACAGCTAGAAATACCCAAGAGTTTAATCTCTTTAGCAAGCTACTAGTTTACTTGTTATGTCCCTTTTAGTATCATTAATGTAAATAAGAAAGAGCAAATTCCCAACCATTGACCCTTGAGGCACTCCACTAGTAAAAAGAGTCCAATTTTATTGGAATCCATTAATAATCTTTTGCTTTCTCCCATCCAATCACCCTAGAATACAATAAACTAGCCTCTCCCTGCCCCTTATTGATGTGACTTTCTTAGATAATACTTTGTGTGATATCTTATCAAAAGCTTTTTGAAAATCTGAGTACACCAAATCAACACCTTTTCCCCTCATCCAGATAAGTAAAGTCTTTGAGAAAAAGGTATCAGATTAATAAGGCAAGGTTTCCCTGTGGTGAATCCATGTTGGTTTTCATTTATCATATTTCACTAAGAGATTTTCTAAATATTCTGTTAGACTAGAATTTTTTCCACTACAGAACTAAGACTGTCTGGCCTATAATTTCCAAACATAAAAGCTAACTTTACTTGTTTTGTAGCTGAAGAAACATAGGGTAAATTGTGTCCATTTGCAAATGTTTACATCAAATGATTAGTGAACTTGTATCACCTGCTCAATATACAAATTCATGAGTCTTAATACATATACAAAATTAATGTGATAACATAACGTTTTGGGACAACATGGGACCTATTGGTCCATCTTGGTTTTCCATCATCTGAACTAAACTAAAACTATTAATAAATAAATTTAAAAAAAATCTTAAAGCTAGTCCTTATCATTCATATACTTATCAAGTGTTCTCTTAAACTCATTTAAATTTACTGCCTCCACATCAGAAGGCAACCCATTCCAAAGGCCAACCACTCTGTTAAAAAAATAAAACTATTTTAACTGAAGTTGACTCCTACCCTGCCAAGATTTATACTTGTGTTCCTAGTCCTACTATTTTTGCCGTTAAGTATGAAAAAAAGATAATGTATTAACACTATCAATTCCCTTTACAATCTTAAAAACCTCAATCAGATCCCCTCCAACTCGTCTTTTTTAAGAGAAAACAATTTTAGAGATTTTTAATCTTTCCTCATATGATACCCCCTCCATCACAAACACCATTCTAGTAACACTACTCTGAACCATTTCCAACAATTCAATATCCTTCCTAAGGTAAGGAGTCCAAGACTGAACACAATACTCCAAATATGGCCTAACCAATGATCTATGCAATGAAATTATAACCTCTTTAGACTTGTATTTAATATTTATGTAGATGTAACCTAAAATCCTATTTGCCCTACCACTAACAGCAGCATACTGCTTGGATGGCTTAAGAGACTGATCAACTATTACACCAAGATCCCTTTCTTTCATGACACTGTTAAAGTTATTCCAATCCAAATTATACTTATAATTGAAATTATGATAACCCACATGCATTATCGTGCATTTATTATAATTAAAACCCATCTGCCAGTTATTTGCCAAACTCACTAAATGACTGAAATCCTTTTGTAAATCAGCAGCATCCTCTTTACAGCTAACAACACCCAACACCTTAATATCATCTTCAAATTTAAGTAATTTATTGTCCATTCTTTCATCTATGTCATTGATGTAAATCAAAAAGAGCAAAGTTCCTAAGACTGAGCCGTCTCCTTTCTTCCGTCTAGCCACTTTTCTATCCAGTTTGTTAACTTATCTCCCACACCTACAGAGATAATTTTTTTTTTACTTACCTTTTATGTAATACCTTGTCAAAAGCTTTCTGTTAATCCAGATACACCAAATCTACCTTCTTACCCTCATCTACATGAGCAGTAACCTTTTCAAAGAATGTCAAAAGATTTGTATGGCAAGATTTTCCTGTAGTGAAATCATGTTGACTATCCAATAAAATTCTGAACTTTGTTAAATGACTTTGCAAAACTTTTCCCACAACTAATGTAAGACTTATGGGTCTATAATTACTGGTACAATTTTTTCACCTCCCTTGAAAAGAGGAGTTACAGTAACTAACTTCCAATCCTCTGGTACCTGCCCACTATTCAAGGACTGACAAAAAATAGTAGCAAGTGCTCACATATCCAATCACATTAGAAACATATAGATGTTATTTTCAACATCTAATGAAAGAAGCATGCATACTGAAGAATACCTCACCTTTAATGTATTAATGTTCATTATTCTAGAATGAACTTTTAGTATTTTGTGATATGATAGAACTGCACCTACAGTGATATCTTATTACACTTGTAAGTATTGAAAAGGTAAACATCTTATTTGAAAACTTTCCATAATATTGGTTCTACTAAGTGTTTTTACATTTTTTTTTGCAGGTGATGACAAACTGTTAAGCTACAAAATGCCAAAGGCAGCAAAGGTACAAGCTAAAATTGTGTATCCGTCTGGGGTGAAAGAAGTTTCTGATGATCTTAGTACTGATGACCTAGTCAGGAGGTTAAAGGTAGCATTTTGTATTAGAATAAGTATCATTGTTATTTTATATATCTCTAATTATGCATAACTGTTATTTAAATACTGAATTAAGGATTAGCCTTTCTGTTTTTGGGATATTCTGAGGCTACCAACTAAAGAAAAATGCATGAGTGTAATCAAGATTAAAAATGATGAATAAATATTCTTTTTTCTTTAGTTGGTAGCCTCTATGCATGAGTGTAATCAAGATTAAAAATTATGAGTAAATATTCTGAGGCTACCAACTAAAGAAAAATGCATGAGTGTAATCAAGATTAAAAATGATAAGTAAATATTTTGAGGCTACCAACTAAAGAAAAATGCATGAGTGTAATCAAAGTTAAAAATGATGAGTAAATATTCTGAGGCTACCAACTAAAGAAAAATGCATGAGTGTAATCAAGATTAAAAATGATGAGTAAATATTCTGAGGCTACGAACTAAAGAAAAATGCATGAGTGTAATCAAGATTAAAAATGGTGAATAAATATTCTGAGGCTACCAACTGAAGAAAAATGCATGAGTGTAATCAAGATTAAAAATGATGAGTAAATATTCTGAGGCTACCAACTAAAGAAAAATGCATGAGTGTAATCAAGATTAAAAATGATGAGTAAACTAGAATGGATGGCAACTTCCTGTTGTAAAAACACACGTGTAGAGGATGACTTTTGAAACGCCGTCCTCTACACTTGCGTTTTTACAACAGGCAGTTGCCATCCATTCTAGTTTACTCATCGTGTATATTCTGCCTAAACAATCTATTGAAAATTGAAATATTTTTTGTTTTTAGAAGAAAATATTTTCTTGCATATCAGAATTAATACAGATGTTAAAGATATTGTGTTTTATAAATATAGTATGCACAATGAATAAGTTTACTTAATTGTTTTTACTTCTGTCTTTTATTGTTTGTTAATTAATAAATATAGCTACTAAATGTTGTGTGTATACTTTTTTTGAAATATGGAGAGACATAGCTAACTTTTCAATATCACAGTGTAACCCTAATGCTTGTAAAAATGTAATATTTGATAACATTTTATAAAGCTTTGCTCCACATCATGAATGTCAAAGAGTGTCATTATGATACATTGGAAAGTTTACTTATGTTTTATTTTAATGACCTGGTGTAGAATAAGAACTCAGATAAAAAATTTAAATATGTTAGGAGTGTGCCCAGGCATTCCAGAATATCAGCCAAGATGATGACAACACAGTGTACATCCCCTTAGCACTCCACTTAGCTACTGATGGGTTTCTGCAACATCCCAGTCGTGATGTGAGACTGCTTATTGCATGTTGTGTTGCAGATGTCTTCAGAGTGTTTGCACCTGAGGCTCCTTATAAAGATCCTAGTCAGTTGAAGGTAATTGTTATTCAGTTTTTTTCTAAAAAGATAAGTACTTGATATATGTGTGTAGTTGTAAGTTTCTGATTTCTTGTTTGTTTATAAAGATCCTCCACAAAAAAAAGAGGAGTATAGTATTCAAGTAATGACATAAAATAATACTATTTAAAGCACCCATATAAACACTTGCATCATTTCTCCTGTGTACACTACACACAACAAGGTTAATAAAGAATATTTCTACTTGTAAAGACATGACATTAATTTAACATTTTTGATACCCCATTATGGATTACCTAGTCACTTGTTAGAATAGGAAGTTCAGGAGTTGTTGTTCGGATTACCTAGTCACTTGTTAGAATAGGAAGTTCAGGAGTTGTTGTTCGGATTACTTAGTCACTTGTTAGAATAGGAAGTTCAGGAGTTGTTGTTCGGATTACCTAGTCACTTGTTAGAATAGGAAGTTCAGGAGTTATTGTTCAGATTACCTAGTCACTTGTTAGAATAGGAAGTTCAGGAGTTATTGTTTGGATTACCTAGTCACTTGTTAGAATAGGAAGTTCAGGAGTTATTGTTCTCCACATTAACTTCTACTTGAAGATATTTTAAGAAACTAGTGCTGTACAGTTAAATTAGCTTCATCCAGGGTTTGCACTTACATTTAAGAAATTGCATTTTGCACATTCATAACACACTGAAACATTCTACAGCACATGGTTTATGGTTTAATTGCTGAAAGCTGGCAAACTATTGGAAACCAATATGCCTAAAATTGTTTATAAAAATCAAGTTAACTACAGATGTTTATTTTTTCTACATTCTCTTAAATTTGCCATCGTGACTCAAAAAGTATTATACTGCATACATAAATAGTATTTCAGAGAGTCTTTTTGTTTCTCATCATCCAGCCCATCTGATGAGTTCACTTATTGAACGAAAGGCTTCTTTGGCAGCGATTTGAAGAAGACAAAGATAGATCTGAAATGCTGTTCTTACACTTCTGATTTTAAACTGAAACAAAAAATTTAAGTTGAATGTGGGAAAAAGCATCTGTAGTTAACTTGATTTTTAAGACAGTGTATGATGTTACACATGATAATTTTTAACTCAAAAATATGGTAGGGTTCATATTTTATAAAGTTGCAAAGTTTTTTTTTTCTATATAATTTGCTAAGACAATGAAAAAATGTTCTAACTTTCATTTCTTTAAGTATTTATTGATTTTTAGAATATTTCTGCCCTTTATTTTCTTGTCTGTTAATGGTTTTATTACTACAGCTCTTTATTATTATCCTTTTATGATATAACTTCATGTGGTTTGAACAATTAGTAATAAAGTAAAGCTTTGAAAACAGTTATAGGCAAGGTTTAAATATGATTGGATAGAGCAGATTATAAACTATTCAAGTTAAGCAGTATTTTATGTTTTGTGGGAAAGTAACCAGATAGAGCTCCTGCAGGGATGAACAAAGAAATCTAATGGGAAATTTTAGAAGCCTGAGGAACAAACCACAAATCTGGGAATTTATTTTATAGTTTCTTTAGATGCTCTTTTTATTCCTGAAATGATTTAGAGTCAAATTATAACTTTGAAAGTATTTTCTTCTATTTAAAGACAGTTTAGTTAGGTTTAGAGAATACAGAACATTTGCAATGATCTATAGCAAAGAAAAAACAATTGCATACACTAAATTCATAGACATTATTCTATTTTTTGTGTGAAATACACAATTTTTTTTGCACAAGTGTGATTCCTGGTTGAAAACAAAAAACATACAAATAATGTCATATTGATCATGATAAAAAATAAACATTTAAAGTGTAAAGATAGCAGGTTGAACCCTTAAATTTTTATGTTACAGATTTGTCAGTTCCTAAACATATACATATTGCTATAGTCCAAGTCTGGTGTATTCTCTTAATAATTGTATGTTTTTTTTTTGTTGTATTTTTATTGACATTACACAAGTTTTAATTAGCACTACAAATTATGTTTCTTTATAATTAGTGTTGTTGACGTTGCTCTAGTTACACAGATGGCTTTGGTAAGGATTGCATGACATAATAAAACATATTCATTTGGTCAAATATAGTCTATTGGTATCTTTTTCATGTCTCCTAAAGTTCTTTTTCCTTAATCTGTGACAACTAAGATGTTATCTTAGATCTCGAAGCAAGTCATAAGTTCCTAAAAATGTTGCAAGCTCTGGAGATCTGTTTTTTTATTGTTTTTTATTATGAATTTGCCCTTATAAGTTCTTCTTCTAAGCTTAGTTGACAAAAATTATTAGAGTATGCTTGTCTTTGTTGTTGTCATTATACATTTTGTAAATAATATATATTTGAGTATTTATAGATACTTACATACATGTATAAAGTGTGGCTGTGGAATCAATATTGCTCAATGCTTGGTACAACAAGTTTTACCATTATGTTTTGTCTGTTGGACAACTAAATGTTCGTTCTATTTCTAGAAAACATTCTATGTACATTCCTAGAAAGGCACGCAGTTTCTGAGGATTTTGAAATGTGGAAGCTCAGACATATACACAAACATTTAAAAATGTGTACTCCTAATCATCAAACCAAAACTGTTCTTTGTTTCTGGCTTGAAAAAAGAGAGTTTAAAAATTTAGAAACATGAAATTTAAAAATTTAAAGGTTTCGTATACTGTTTCTTCACTTTAAATGTTTTTTGTACGGTACTTATAGGTTTTACGAATTTTTTTCACCATAATTTATTACATTTGAACTTCAGAAGTGTGAAGAATTACTTTTTGATATGGATAATGCATGAATGTATATTTTTAAACCATTTAAGAGTTTATGTTCCAAATGTAGAATATATACATATATTAATAAATATAAACCTTGTGCTCATACCAAATTTGTGTATGGGTTTAGCATGAGTAAACCATATCATCTTATTTTTCGAAGCTTATACTTGAAAATTGCCTCATGCATATATTGCTTTTTCTTTTGATTTAACCGATTGGTGATTTATCTGTTTAGCTGAAACTTGTATTAATTTTTGAGTGTTAACAGGATATTATATGATTAAAGAGCATCACACTTCATGGCCAAAACTTCTGTAATATTAAAATCTTTCAGGGTTAACAGGGGAAAGTATGTTTGTATGTGATAAAAATTTCTTAGTGTCGTCATTTCATGTGTTTTAAAATTTTTATATTTAAAGAATACACAAATTTACGAACTTCGAGAAGAGAATTTCTATAAAATTCTCATATACTTTTCCAGTTTTTGAAAATATTATTAATAATTATAAATGAAGTGACCTCTGGTTACCGTAATCAAAATGTTCATAACATCAGAGATGGTGGTAAGTCTGTGTTTATTGGTTGCTTCAATACTTGAACTTTCCTCACTACTGTTAGTTAAAGAGCCATTTTTTTGTGAACTGTATATGAGCCTGATATAAGTCTAAGAAGTTCATTCTAAATGTGCCATTTTCTTAAAGAATGAGAAGATGAAATTGCTGTTTTATTTCTACTTTCATTTAGAAAAAAACATTTTGGTGGATCTAAATAAAACTTAGGACAGAAAAAAAAAACAGAAAATGTAATTGTAGACAAGCCCATAGAATCAATTTTCTTAGTTTGTCTTGGTGTTTTTGTGGTCTTCATATATAAATATTTTTATCAGTTTTACAGTAATACTCATTTTTCTTCCATTAGACTATTTTTGAATTCTTCATTCAGCAGCTAAGAGGTCTAGAAGATCCCAAAGACCCAACATTCAAAAGATACTTTTATTTGTTAGAGGTGGGTGCTATATTTTGTAAAATAAATTGTGGAATAGTAAACACTTGACATCTTACACTTTAGGGTAACCAATAGATTATTAATAAAACTATAAGAGTTATTTATTAGATTTAAAGTATTATTTTAACCTTATCATTATGGGTGGGTCAAAGTGCGCATGTCACAACCTTTTACAGAGTTACATTCAATATTTAATTAAACTACTTTATTACCAATGTATAAGAATAAACTTAGCATCAAAACATAGTTAATAAATCAAATGTTAATATTATATAAATTTTAATTTCTTAATGTACTAAAAGGAAATATTTAAATAAATTCTCAATCTCCATGTATGAGAATTGACATTTCTTCACTATGACTTGCCCATCCTGAAATTTTTTAACATTATTCTGTAATGTCCTGAGTTTAACATAGCATATATATTACTAAGGCATAAACTAGATGAACTAGCCATGCCCACCTGTCACATTCTTTCTCACTCACAAATTGCCAATAATTCTCCCTGACAATTTATATCATTTATAACCAATAGAAAGACAAAGTTTTAATTTACCGAAGGATATATAATGCTATGTTGTTCTCAGTACAGAGTTTATTTATTCGGCTAACGATTGAAAGTTACTTTTGCCAAGTTCAGATGGAGTAGCTAAGGGAATTATTTTAAGGTACTTATGCCTTAGTTAGAAAGCCAGTTAAATTATTATAATTGAGGGACACTGTTTGCTTTGTGCATGTTATTATTCTGGGTTCTTGTGTGTATTCTCAACTAAATAATTACTTGATATACTAGTGCCATTAGTAAAAAAAAAAAAAACAAGGCTGAATGTAAGTATAAAATTTATTGTTTTTTATGTATATATTTTATTTCTTGTTATAAAAGTAACTAAAATGTAACAATTAGAAACATATTAGGTTAGGTAATATAATGAAAAATAAGAATAGTAAAATCTATTCTTGTGAGTATGTTATTCAGTATGATATTTTGAGCTATGCATTTGCTGATTGATTTATAGCTTTTATTGTGGGATTATTAGTTATAAACAGTTCAGAGGGCAATAAAACAAGAAAATTATGTAAAACAGATGTAGACTGTTACAAGCCTTAAGCTATTTAGGATAAACAATTGTAATTTTCTGTTACAGCCTGCATTCATTCTATTGAGTCGTCAAGAAATTAATTGTCGCTTTTTTTTAGATGAAAAACCCAAACAACTTATATATCAAAGCAAATCATTTATTAAATGAAATA